GGTATTTATAGATGTTGGAGTCTGTTAAATCAACATCATATTTCAGCCAATCCGTTAACGTCATATTATGCAACCGACCAATGGTAGCACTCCACGCTGGAATCCTCGAACGTTCCATCATACTCTGATTGGCTAGGGCCCTTCGGCTCCTTTTAGGCCTCTGGAGGCTCCGTTGAAGTTCTCCGGAAGCCGACCCAACACCTCCCCCGAATAAGATTTCTTTCTTAGGTCTACTTGTAGTTTGACAACTGGGTTGCGGCGGCGTCCCATTATTCTTGTCGTCTTCCCTGTCCAAGGCTTCTTTTCAATGTTCTTGGGCATTTGTGGCATTGGTGCATCTAAGATTAAATCTAACGGGAAAGTCGGACGGTTACTTCGAGTCTGCATCGTTCTATTGTCCTTATGGATTTGATTTGTGTGTCGTATACATGTCCCAAAAGTTCCTCGAACTTTGTACAGTACTCTTCCCAGTTTTTGCACCACTTCGCCCGGCTCCCATCGGTTCTTCCCGATGTCAGATTTAATGTAGGCTTTGTTGCCAACACTAAAGTTCCGGTTACTTGGATCGTGACTGCACTCATTCACTAATTTGGATGGCAACATGGCGTTGAAGATGGTTCGAATACGCCTTCCGAACATGGCTTCCACAGGAGACTTGCCGTCTGGACAATTCGGGTTCGGGGTGGATCTGTGGGATGTTAAAACATCTCCCCAGTCGTCCCTTTGCCTCCCCTTTCAGTAACGCTCGTTTAAATGTGTCCACAAAGCGTTCTGCTTGTCCGTTCGATTGCGGATGATAGGGCGGAGAACGAAGATGTGTCATTCCATTTATGCAACAGAAATGCTTAAAGGATTCTGCGGCGAATTGCGAGCCGTTATCCGTTACTAAGGTCTCTGGTACTTCGAAACAGCTAAACAGGGTAGACAACTTGTGGATTGTTTCTGATGTTGTTCAATTTGGCATGGTATATACTTCCGGCCATTTAGTAAATGCATCTACGATAATTAGAAACATTTTTCCTTGGATTGGACCGGCAAAATCTGCGTGAAGTCTTACCCAGGGTCCTGCAGGCGTAGGCCAATACTGAGGTTCGCATTTCAAAGGATTTTTAGCGGCTTGAATACATGATGAACAGTTACGGCATTTATTCTCGATATCTTTGTCCATTGACGGCCAATAAGCATAACTACGAGCCAAAGATTTCATTTTATTGATTCCCGGAAATGCTTGAAAACATTGTGACGTAATAACTTCGGAATAACAATTCGATCACCGAACATAATACACGAGTCAACAACCATTAGTGAGTCCCGTCGACAAAAATATTGCAAACGTTCTCCGTCAAGGCGATTGTTTGGCCATTTGGTCGAGAGATAGCATTGAACTGTGCTCAATTTCTCATCACTTCCAGTGATCTTCTTGACAGTTTCAAAGGTTACTGGGAGTCCATCGATTGCATCACCCAATACGTGGTGAACTTCTTCCTCAGCTTTTATATTTGCTACAAGAGTCTCCTCTGGGGTTTTCAATTGGGAGCCTATTAATCTTGAGATTGCGTCAGCTTGACCGAAGGCGGTAGTAGACTGATACTTGATCTTGAAGTCGTAACCCAGAAGTATGGTTGCCCATCGTTGGAGTCGGTTAGCTTTATGAACAGGAACACTTTTCTTTGACCCAAAAACTGCAAGTAGTGGTATATGGTCTGTTATTAGGGTAAAATGTCGACCATATATCATCTTATGGAACTTTTTCACTACAAAGATAATTGATAGGGCTTCTTTCTCAATCTGACTATAGTTCCTTTCGGTCGTTGTCAAAGATCTGGCAGCGTGAGAGATAGCTTTTCCGGACCCATTAGGGAAAATGTGAGAGATAACTGCGCCCACACCATAGTTAGAAGCATCTGAAGCAACGATTATCGGTAGCGAAGGATCATAATGTGTCAATAAGAGATTGGAAGTCAGGAGTTGCTTGATTTTCTCGAAAGACGCTTGGCAGTCTGCAGACCAATTCCATCTTGTATTCTTTTGTAGTAGGTTGTTTAGTGGAGCACGTAGACGATGGAGATCGGGGGGAAGGTACCATGATGGTTGACCAATTCCAAGAATGATCGTAGGGTAGTAATATCCCTGGGTCTAGGCATTGTTTTCACAGCTTCAATGTTCTCTGGGTCTGGTCGTCTTCCGTCTTTATCTATTATGAACCCAAGATACCGTACTTGCTGCATATAGAAGTCACACTTTTCCGCTCAAAGGCGAAAACCATAATCGGCTATGCGTTCTAGTACCTGGTCCAGTTTCTTCTGCAGGTCCATTTTGTCTACTGCCATAATTATGATGTCGTCTAAGTAAGCTGCTGCCCTTGGAATACCTTGTAACATGGTATCCATAATTTGCTGGAAAATAGAGGGGGCTGTCTTCACCCCCAAAAGGTAGTCGGTAGACGGACGCTTCCATCCGACTTCTTGACCACCACTATTGGTGCAGCCCAGTTCGAAAAGTTCACAGGCTCGAAAACACCCATTTGCTGAAGTCGTTGTAATTCTTGTTCAACTATTGGAAGAGCAGCATATGGTACGGGTCTTTTAGGTCGAGAAACGGGAGTAGCTGCAGGCTTCAGAGTTAGCACTGCTTTGACCTACGTACATTCCCCCAATCCTTCTTTAAACACGTTTTGGTGTCTTTGTAGCATGGCATTTTTCTGGCTCCACTCTGAGGTGTTGTCAGTTCTGATTTGTCTGCAGATACTGTTAATAGAATGGTCTGCTAGTTTAAGTGTTTCTATAAGATCTAACCCCATTAAGTCGAGTACTGGCTTCTTTGTAAGATATACTGTTGCGTTCGTTGTTACAGTACCTTCAGTGGAATCAATCAGAAAACCATTGAGAGGTAATACAAGACTTAATTAATTAAACATATCACAACTTTGTCCGATTATATCACAAGAATAAAATAACTGAATACTGCATAGGTGGTATAAACATTTCTGTGAAGAAAAAAACTTATTTGCGGCAGTTGTCGACATACCATCAGTTATTCCTTACCCTCCCTTCTTTACTATACAAAACAAACAACGATATATGGACACACATACACGCAAACGATAACTAATCAGGTTTTAAATGTTCACTTAATATACAATAAGCATGCGATAGAAACAGCAGAAACAATAGAACCTACAAATAAAGTTAAAAATAGACAAAACCAAATGAAAGCCATTACACTATTTTCGATAGTTGGGTTTAAAAAGAATATATATATATATATATCACTCCTCTTTTTCTAATAATATATTGATCAGTGTTGTTGCTTTTTTAAACAAATGAGTACAAAACAAACAATAAATGATGAGCAGGTTAATGAATTCTTTTGTTAATCACCATTTATTTATTATATTATATTATATAATAATATAATATAATAGTCCACTCCTATTGGTTCCGTTTGTTTTACTTCAGACATGTTAGAATTCCACTGGTCACAACTTTACACCAGGACTTAAGGAACTCATCTCAAAGTCAGTAGTAATGAGAGTATGACGTTCGAAAAGAAAGATATCCCTTGGAGATATTCATGACTGATGAATTTCAATTGAGAGACCTGTTAAAACTGAATTATGTAGAATATCGTCCTAGATTAGGACATTTGAATAGTGCAAAATACAACATCTTATTTGGGCTATTTTATTTGTAAAACTATTTTTATTACATAATCAAAGTTAATCATTTAAACCATAAGCAAACAATTGATTGTAAAAGTCCATTTGGTTTATAAGGAAAGAAAAATAATATTACACACAACTGTAATAAACACCTTATTACAATCAAAATCATTCGTAGATACTATGTGTTATATGAACGAATAAGTGTTAGTTAGTATTTTAATCACTGGGTAACAATCTAAAACAGAGTGATTTTTATTCTAATTATATGTAATAAGCGTAAAACACACATATTATTATATGAATATATATATATATATATATATATATATATATATATATATATATATATATATATGAATGTTCGAATAGTCATTGTGAATTCTCAATTTTAATTAAACACTGTTTTTGCTATATATTCCATAAACAAGTTGGATACAGTTTGATAGAACATATACTGATTATATAATTCTTTTTTGTTCGTAATTCAGTTTATAAACAAACTAGAGTTATTGATAAATGGTAATTAATAAAAATATGAATTGAAGTATGTCAAGGAAGTTATCATTAATTATTACTGAATTATATTACTGTACAGCCTATAATCTAAACACTTTGTTTAAAACAATATGACAGTCATAAATTTATGCCAATTGATGAGCTTTCTAATAAATAGTCAAACTGAAATCATGATAATTTCACATTGTAAGAACTGTAGATGAATCATTATTATTGTGTTCAAAATACTTCTTTTATTTTTTGGTAAAAATCATACTTGTAAAAGTTTAGAAATCAAGTCTCTCTATTGTTTCATTTATTGTTGAGTTCTTTGTGATTAAGAGAACACATTCTAATTGTTTAGAATAATATAGTGAGTGTAGAGCGTGATACAATATGGTGTCAAAATTACAAGTGAGAAACGAGGAATCACTGATAGATATGCAGTAATATTGTTTCTTAACTATTGGACAGCCCTCAATCATCACAACCTTGGTCGATTATTAACCAAACTAAGGCAGCCCATTATTCTCAGGACAAATGGTTGTTCAGATACATATATGAATACTCTACTGAATTAGCCTCGAACTAGTGCAAAATGTTTTTACCTATCAACTGAATATTTCTGTATCCAATGTCAGTCTGTGAATAAATCTCTTCATAACTTGAACTAATCGCCAGCATCCACATTTGTATGCTTAATACTAGTGATAAGCTTCAAGATAGACCACAGAAGTTTCAATGAAATGAGTTATGACCGGTGGATAAATTGAAACTGTTTCAATTACTTATTGAAATAAAAAAACACTGTTAAAATATCCTACTTAGTTTTGGAACTTACATGGATTCTTGAATGAAATCGATTGATTTGAAGTGGCTTCAGATTGTGTAGGATCCGCTGAACCAATTGACAATTGCATTTCTAAATTTATTTGTTTTTGATTACTTGGCAGTTTAATCCGAAACATTGTTTGTTTACTGGATACCCGGGATTTTGATGTTTCAATTTTTGGTTCAATAAATTCTAAAAGTAGATAAGTTGGTCTACAAGCAACATTGTCGGAGATCACCTAGTTGAAAGTATTATAAAGAGGAAATGAGTAAACCAGTATGAAAAGCTGATAACAAGGTATGATAGTGAATTAATGTGATTGATAACTGATTACCACAAATTATATTTTGTAATAAGGTTGATAGAATACTAAACCGCTGGACTTTTATATTGATTTGTAGCTTGTATTCGTCAGTCGGGGTGCCAATGAAAATCGGTCACCCATGGGATTGGATGATCATCTCATCATGTTGGGAATCAGTTGAATTTGGAATTGGACGCTGACTCAATGGTTTTAGCGGTCAACTATTCACAATGAGGCTTATAGCACCACACTTTGGAGCCTATCGAGCTCGTAAACACGCATAGCTGACAAGCCCTTATTAGGAAGAAGCAGTTGTCCGGTCCAACCTGGTTTGTTAATATTATTCTCAAATGAGATCAGTCTGTGATGTTCACAAACTACAAATCAAACGACTCTTCACAAATCCCTTCCAAGCAAACTTCTGGTTTGTTTAAAATCAGGCACTGACCACGTAATGAACGAATATTCATTCTAATTTATGTAAAGCAGTCAATGAATTATCAAACTCCCTACGACATTTTTAATGCATCTAAGTTTCAAACGATCATAGCGTGTTTTTTTTGGAACAATAAATGTTAAGCAAATATGGACGGTAGCTAGCAGTGGAATCCAGGAAGCGCGTTTGTTCTATTTGGAACTCACACCAAGTGCCGTTCGTTTTATATGCCATCACGTTATCCACTCAGCCGCTAAGTCCTGATAACCACCTCCTGGACTCCACTGCTAGCCACCATCCATCATCACTATACATTTATAAGATGGTGGTTAAAGGTAGTTGACAGTAAACCCTAGACTTACGTTTTCTTGCATTTTGACACTCATCAGGAACTCATACTTGTAATTTTAAAGAAACTGGTACTCCCTACGAATTTAATCCTGTATCACTCAGCTTTATAGTCATTTATAGACGTTACCACTCATCAATTCTGGCCATGACTAGCCTCCTGTAAGAGTGAAACATATTTATATTTGGCTAATCACTAAGTACGGCAGCGAAAAATGGCCATTGAGAGTAGAAGACACCCGTAAGCTACTAGTATTTAACCACAAATGCCTTAGAAATATTGCTGGCGTCTGCTGGGATCACAGGGTAAGTAATAGTGAGGTTAGACGCAGGGTATTAGGGAATGATGGTAAATCAGTTGGTGAGGTTATGAATCTTCATCGACTGAGATGGTTGGGCCACGTGTTACGTATGCCTGAACACCGATTACCACGACGTGCAATGCTAACCGGTATTGGAAATGGTTGGAAGAAAGTTAGGGGCGGCCAAACCAAAACGTGGAATCAGTGCTTGAAGTCACTAACTTCTAGTCTGAGCCATGTTGGTAGATGCAGACTACTTGGTTGGGGTCGGCGTGACTTTCGTAACCAATGGTTGGAGACTCTTGGTGACATGGCTCAGAATCGGTCACAATGGCGTCGGTGTATACACTCCCTGTCTTCCCTTAAACTAAGAGATTAAAATCACTTCATATCTTTCTTTCTACGAACTAATTCTTCCTTCCTATACTATATCCTTATTGCAACCTTTGACCTAACCACTGCTATGAATCCAGTGTTCATCTTGTTGTGCTGATGCGGTATGGCAACCTGGACCGATGCACATATGTGCCTGGTCCTACGTTGTAGCTGACTGACTGACTGACTGAATCACTAAGTAGTGACCAATGTCGACTTGACTGATAGAATTTCATGAGCATTAAAAAGAACATAATGTACATTGGTCATTTCTCAGTGATCAATCGATTGTAAGCACACGTTACTGCTGGCTAACACCCGTAACACTTGGATTTTAAATAAAATCAACATTGATTCCGTGAGTTTTTTATCTGTTCAAATTTATATCCATTGAATTTCATTTATACCAAGTTCAGTACAGATGATTCTTGCATTTATTTGTTTCAAGTCACACTCTAAATATATAATAGCAAATGATATTACACGGTTGACAAAACCGAAGTGTAGATAAAGCGGAGTTCAAAGCTAAAATATGATGGCTGTGAAAGTCGGATACCTTAATCGCTGTGGCACCGAACATAGTTCACTGTACAACTTACTTACTTAATTTATTTACGCCTGTTACTCCCAATGGAGCATAGGCCGCCGACCAGCATTCTCCAACCCACTCTGTCCTGGGCCTTCTTTTCTAGTTCCATCCAATTCTTGTTCATTTTTCTCATGTCTATTTCCATTTCCCGGCGTAATGTGTTGTTTGGTCTTCCTCTTTTCCTTTGGCCTTGAGGATTCCATGTGAGGGCTTGTCTTGTGACACAATCGGGTGCTTTCCTCAATGTGTGACCTATCGACTTCCAGCTCTTCTTTCCCTTTGTGTATATTGAGACCAACTTCTGCTGAGGTTGCTGCTATACTGGTCGTCTTCTCCTGCATTTGTTGTTGCGTTTGGGATAGAAGGGCCAGATCATCTGCGAAGTCTAGATCGTCTAACTGCATCCTAGATGTCCATTGTATCCCGTGCTTCCCTTCAGATGATATTGACTATCTTCTGAGACACGCCGTAGTATCGAAGAAGCTTACATGGTGTTGTTCCGTCCACGCTAGCAAATGCTTTTTCGTAGTCAATGAAGTTGATGTAGAGTGATGAATTCCATTCAATTGATTGTTCCACAATGATCCGTAGAGTTGCGATTTGGTCTGCACGCGATCTATCCTTACGGAATCTTGCCTGTTGGTCACGAAGTTGGGCGTCTACGCAGTCCTTCATCCTGTTTAACAATACCCTGTTGAAGACTTTTCCCGGTTAAGAGAAGAGTGATGCCCATGTAGTTATCACACTTGCTGAGATCGCCTTTCTTCGGTATTTTGATCAGGAGTCCTTCTTTCCAGTCTTTTGGTACTTGTTCCTCATCACAAATCTTATTGAAGAGAATATGGAGTATCCTTGCAGTTGCCGCTAGGTCTGCTTTTAGTGCTTCTGCTGGATTGTTGTCTGGTCCTGCTGCTTTGCCACTCTTGATTTGTCTGATGGCCATGCTGATTTCTTCAATTGTTGGTGGGCCAACATTGGTTGGGAGGTCCGTGGGTGCTGCTTCGATATTGGGTGGGTTCAGTGGAGCTGGTCGATTCAAGAGTTCTTTGAAGTGTTCTACCCACCTGTTTTGTTGCTCTTCAATGTTGGCGATTACCTCGCCTTCCTTGCTTTTCACTGGTCGTTCTGGTTTTCGGCGATTTCCAGAGAGTTTCTCTGTCGTGTCATACAATTGTCTCATGTTTCCTTCTCTTGCAGCCTTTTCCGCCGTTGTTGCTAAATCTTCCACATATTTACGTTTGTCTGTTCTGATGCTCCTGTTCACTTGTTTGTTTACTTCTGTGTATTCAGCTTGTGCCGTGGCTTTTTCTGCTCTTGTTCGGCTGGTATTGATTGCTGCCTTCTTGTTCCTTCTTTCTTGAATCTTATCCAGTGTATCAACAGTGATCCATTCCTTGTGATGGTGCTTCTTGTGAACCAGGACCTCATGACATGTTGAAGTGATTGCCTCTTTGATCCCCTTCCAGTTGCTCTCCACAGTAGTTCCTTCTCCTGGAACTTGTTGCTGAGGACTATCATGAATTTGTTGAGTTTCTTAGTATCCTGAAGAAAGGCTGTATTGAACTTTTGTGATATTGTCCGCCCCGTTGTCCAGTGCTTCTTGAGTTTCAATTTCATCTTGGCGACCAGCAAGTGATGATCTGATGCTATATCAGCTCCTCTCTTGGTTCTCACGTTCTCTATAGACCTCCTGAACTTTTTGTTGATGCAGATATGGTCGATTAGGTTTTGTGTAGAGTGATCCGGTGAAGTCCATGTGATTTTGTGAATGAGTTTATGTGGGAATATAGTGCCGCCTATGACCAGTTTATTGAAGGCATATAGGTTTGCAAATCTCTCACCATTTTCGTTTCTTTCTCCCAGTACGTGTCGTACCATGATGTCTTCATATCTAGTGTTGTCCGTTCCAACCCTGGCGTTGAAATCTCCCATCAGAATGGTCAGGTCCTTTGTTGGGCACTTCTCGACTATTGACTGCAGCCTATTGTAGAATCGATCTTTAGCGTCTTCACTGTAGTCGTTGGTAGGCGCATAGCATTGGATGATGTTCATTGAAATACACTCTTTCTTTGTTTTGAACGAGGCTTTGATGATCCTTGGTCCATGAGATTCCCATCCTATAAGCGCATTTTGTGCTTGTTTGGACAGCATCAATGCAACTCCTTGTGTATGTGGAGCATTTTCCTCATGGCCGGAGTATAACAGAAGCTTTCCTGAAGCTAGTTGTTGTTATCCAACTTGTTTCCAATGTGTTTCACTGATCCCAAGTACTTCTAGGTTGTATCTTCTCATTTCTGCAGCAATTTGGAAGGCTCTCCCGGTCTCCCATATTGTACGAGTATTCCATGTACCTAAATAAGTGGTTGATTTGGTTGTCAGAAGGGGCATCGGCCTCGTAACTTTCGAAGGAATTCGGCTTTCATCATGAGGCGTCAAAATTCTTCTAAACAAAGACCTTCTGACTCCCAGGGCAGAGTTTAAAAGGTTTGAATAGTTTTTTCTGGTTAGCGTTTTTTTAGCGAGTTAGTTTTCTACGGGATGGGGTCGCTAACTCCATGCAGGACTCTCTTCTTTTATCCGAGCTTGGGGCCGGCAGTAGCCCCCGGAGGGACTCCAGGACTCTCTTACTTAACTGATTGCAAATGATGGTTGATAGTTTTCCGTTCTTTAAACTAACGACTGTAATTGATCACCCTTTGTTGTCAAAAGTTCTGGGATATTTCAATGATGGCTAGAGGTGGAATCGAAGCAGGCATTTCCTCCTGTTCTCGATTCGTCATTTAGATATACCAACATATCTGATGAACGATTTATTTGCCATCTGGACTCAATAGTTCACTAGATAACATGTCGTTGTTTGAAGTGAAAAGTATCATTTTTTGAGTGTCGGTATAGACATCAACAGTGAGATGAAAGTGTACATTCAGCTGAGGTGTCCCAAACAGACGATTACAATCCTTTTTACAATTCAGCTTTATTGAATAAGATTATCAGGTAGTAAACTATTAAGTCATTCTCTCACTTGATTGGATATATGAAAGTAGCAATTTAATTTACATTATAATCATGTAAATATATAAGGAAATTTGGAATTGTTTGAAATGTGAGTATGAATCGTGTGTGAAATGTGGTGAAGATTATAGTCAGAGGAGATATGTTGTATTAGTTAACAGATTTGACTTGAATAATCTAGTGACCACCTTCCTTAATGTCTGGGAAAGGATCTGAAAACGTTCTATCATACTTGTACCAAAATGTCCAGAGTTACTTATCGTATACTTTCAAATTCCCAATATTATGTTCGATGGGGTCCCCGTGCCTTTAGGAGAGGTTATAGGGATTACTGATAGCAATCGCAGTCTATGAATTCGAAAAAGTGTCTTACACATTTATCTCTTTCTTAGCCGGATGAGACTTAAGAAATAATTCTATTAAATCTTCAAGACCTTTATTTGTGTGCTCCTTTTCACTTCAAAAACAGTGTAACGAACGTTGACAACTAACTCCATTGTATTTTTAACATATTACTTACCTGTTCTATGAAAAAAAATTTCACATGACTCACAAGTACAAACTAAATCTCTAATACTTTGACTGACGTCTAAATTTTACTAATGTCAATCAAAATATACAATACTACTCTCCAATATTTAAGCACTGGTCACAGTGATCAAAAACACACTGACATACATGGAGTTATTACACAAAAACCACTATGCTGCATTACGGTAAAAGTACGATACCAGGACGAGGTCAAAGCAAGCGTACCGAATGGTTTTAGCTGATATTTAGTCAATAAAGAATAGCTTTTTTAAATGCATAGTTTGTGAAAAGATTTCACATAATTCATGAGTTTGCTGAAGTCTTCTGCAGGTTACTCTGTCAATAAATTAGGAAAAACAAAGACATAGATATCCGTTCCCTCGAATTCTTATAAGGGTATAAATACAATCTTAACATTGTTTGTGACAAGAGTTAGGATCAGGAATTAAAGGTGAAAGTTTAGGCAATAAGACGACACCAGCTATAATGCCAAAATGCTCTGTAGCCATAAAGACGGATAAATTTAGCGCAAAATTGAAAGAAGCACTGGTCTAAATTTGATTAATCCCTTCACGAAGTATAGTACCACCGAGTTAAGGTTTGTTTTAAGATTAAGGGTTAGTATTTTGGGATTGCCGAATTTAATAAAATCTGGAACCGACCACCACTAAAAACCTGAAAATATGTATTACAATTAAATAATGACGATTTACTAGTTTTATCTAGTGTATATGGAAATAATTGACCATTTGATGTGTTTAACACTATATATTTTTTCTCAATGATGACAAAAATAAATAACTTTTGGTGTCATTTTCAACATTCTGAACACTATACATAGGTATCTCTACCGAAATATATAAAAGCATTAATTTTTGAAGTTTGCGCAAAACCCCTTCAGCCCTTTTTTTCAACTTCTGCCTATACCATCACATTTACTGAAATATCAATCAAAATTAAAACAAAAATATATATTGACAATTTACAGTTATTGATTTAATTGGGACTATTCGGATGATGGATTTGTTTTGGGCGAATAGGAAAACACTGTTCAAGGTTAATGTAGGTGGAAGTCAATTATGCAATGTAATTCGTATAACTATGAGAGTTGGAAAAACCAATCAGAAAGGAATTTAAAAGTGAGTCTAATCAAGTTTAGCAAAAAAATGAGCTTTTTAGTTAGAAAAGAAAACTAATCAATTATTCAATTTAAGACTGAACGTATTTAAAATTATCATCTGATCTTTTAGTATAATTTGGAGTAGATGAGAGATAGTATGTGCTTGGTTTTTCAAATGGGATTGTTTAAAAAATGGTCAAATGTAAACTAATAATATAAGTGAACTGTTGGAATATTGGAGATTAGATCGTGCATCAATGTACATGTATCATTAACTACTTGATGTGCGGTTGTATCCTTAAAATCTTCAATAGTTTGTGAAAACTTGCCACTTCGCATTTTTGTGTACTTGTCCAGTATTACATTCATTCTACAGTTTTCATGAACAACATATAGTGAATAAAACAAAAAGTTACTTAACTATGATACAGTGCTATGGAATAAAAGATACTTTTCTATTAAATAAGCAACTATCAGTATGTTAGAAGTCCCTGGAAAATGAGTCTTAAAGACAATAGATCGAACCCACGTTTGAGACAGAAGTAAACTCATTATATTCTGTGAAACTATAAATTCAACAAATTACACAACTTCGTATACTAACAAAAAATGTTATTTATTTGAGCTCATGAAAAAAAATCCCGTCAGAGTTGATTACCCAAATTTTGTAAACATTCTATCCCGCTTAATTTCACACACACATGAACTAGCTTTTTTTCAATTTAAGTACATTTTAAGGACTAACACACTTCCGTTCGGAAATATAAACGATAAATACATGTAATGATATTAATATTAACATCATAATAATATGTGTTATTAAAACTGTATCCTCGATTAATAATTAAAATGCAACGGATCGCCTAACCGACCGAAAGGATGTTTGATTTTAGAAAAACCGAATGACACAATTGGTAGTTGTAAGGCCATTTTTTTCATCGCATTATTTATACAATAATTAGCTATTGACAAGGATAGGATACGTGTCCGTGAATTTGTAGCACTTTTTTCATTGCACTGCACTATTCCGTCCATTTAGTAAAAGAATACTACATATAAGATTATAATGATTGCTGATTATCCTATTTCATGCTCGAAATTGCTTTTATTTTACTGTCTGGGAAGTTGGAATGCGTTACATTAACTTATTGCAGAAGACATATGGAGATAACGTAATATGAATAACATGAAGTCTCTAATGGAAATTGCACATATACATAGCAAAGACAAACCAAATGAATAGAAAAACGCTCGAAAATGTAAGATATCTCACTTTTATTAAACGTTAAAAAGGGATAGTTATCCTCATATATATACATTGGTGCGATTTATTAAAAATAATTTGTTTACTTTTTCAATGGCATTTGTTATAGAATTTCATCAATGTCGAAGACAAGTACACATGGAATCGCTGTTTTTTTCTTCGTAAGCGACTTCACTGAGATATAGATGCATAACTAATTGGTCCGGCAACCGGTTTGTAACCATTTGGTCAAACATCAATCGTTTGCATTTTAAGTTTAGATGCTAGGTGTTTGACAGTAGCCGGTAGGATACCCAACCTTATCTAGGTTTCGTGTTAGTCAGCACACTTACAATCTTAATAGAACTAATCATTTCTATGGTATTCGAACACGTTTCACTTAATTTCACAGTCGTTTATGCTAATGCTGCACTATATATTCTGTTTTCATTTTAATGAATAAATAAGCATATTATTGATCGAGAAAGAAATGTTGAAATAGAACTTTTTTTTCAAGACAAAACAAAACGAAATGTGTGTATATCGTTCGCTCATTATTTCTGAATAAATTAACCATGCATCAAAATATTCCTTTAAAGCAAATAGCATTGAAAGAGTATCATTTTAATCAATGTTTTCTAAATATTATGTGATATCGAAGTTAAGTATTTGTGAATAATAATGAAAAGATTGTGAATCTGTAGATTTAGCTACTACTGATACAATTTGAGATACTACTGTGTAATTCAAAAAAAAAGAGAACACACTAATTAGTTTTACCTGGGATTAAATGATTTTCAAGTTGATGAGAATTAATTTTAAATCAAAACATTCTTTCATACACTGAACTGTAATATATTTATTAGATTCATTCTATAGAGACTTATTGACACATAAATTAGTCAGTCATTCAGTCCGTTAGTCATAACCAACACAGAACTTAGCACATATGCACATCGGTTAAAATTATTGTACAACATCAGTACAGCCAAATGAGGATATCCTGACTAGTTCCAGAACGGTAGATGTATTGACAGTACCACTGATTGTATAAAAGATCAGATATAGACAAAATGATTGGAGAGGAACGAATGAACTCATAGAATAAGATAGTTCTAAAACTCAGAATGCAAGAGAAAGCAAAGAGTTAGTACTTTCACAACATTGTGCTTGATTCTGAATCTTATCATTCAAGATCTCCAACCATTAGCCACAATAATTGCGTGGAGTTCAACAAGATAGTCGGGATCTACCCACACTGAACATTTCGACAGTCAGTAGCTCCATGAATTGAAGCATGTCGTTGTTTGATCAACCAGTCTTCAAAACCTGCCGAGGTAGGCGGGGGTTGAGCTTATGTGAGCTTACGTGTCCCAACCATCTCAGTCAATGAGAATTCACTAACTGATCAATCGACACATCATACCTGGTACACTACCGCTAACGTCAACATGTAACATATAATGTAAGTCGAAAATGGTAAAAGTATTCAATTTAATTATCCCAAAAAACTTGAGGAGCTATGTAATTTTTCTAATTACATATCACTGCATTTATCTTTAGAAGACTGGTCTAGCATTCAATAGTTTAAATATATACACTCAATACTGAACAACCGTTTTTAAGCACCGTTAATTTGTAACGGGTTGACATTAGATATGACTGAATCTCACACGGGTAATGTCTTCTCTCACTATTTCTAGAACTCTGGAATTTACCTCTCGAAGTTAGTCATCAGTGAGCAAATTACTATTATTATTATTGAAAGAATCTTTGTGAAGATTTCTGAACATTATGGTTTACATCACAAAGTGATCTTAGTTAAACAACCAATCAGGAGTAAGACTAATCAGTAGTCAGTATCCACGCATCGCACACAATCTTCAGATGATCTGTATAGATCAACTGAACTTCAAAATATACAAAACATACATACATATTTTCCGTGAATTCCGATTGGTCTTCTTGGTGAGGTTGTATCTTCTCAATTGAATGTTTCAGTCATGAAGCTTTTACTGTCTTTTCGGACAACATCATCAGTGTAAACTTCAAATGTAAGTGAGCTGTTAAGTGTTTTTTTAGTGATATTATCCAGTTAGACAAGGAAGGATTCACAATAACCAACCGGATGAAGGAATGCGATTCCATTAAAACCATCTCACCTGAGCTAGAAATCGTCTCCACTATCTATCTCAAAAGACTTTCCAAATATAGTAAAAAATAACCATTGATTGAACTGGTTACATCCGTCCTTTCATGTACTTTTATTCAAGATTTTTCAAATAATTCCCACCGTTATTATCAATCTACCATTTAATTTCAAACTGAGAACATTACGCACACAACACAACTCTGGGATGCAGATACATCCAGATGATAAGTCCAAAATAGAACGAAATCCACATCCCGCATTCCACTGCTAACCACCATCCATCTCTGCTTGTAATTATTGGCACAGTTTATTATTTTTATTATTACTACTATTTTTATTATTATTATTATTATTATTATTATTATTATTATTATCTCCTTTATTCAATGTTATATTTTTGGTACAATATAGAATTCTCAGTGCAAAGTATTTCAACAAGTTTCCGTTTCTTTCTTCTTGGTCGGTCCCGGCGATAAATATCGAGTGATCGCCAGTTAGATGTTAGTACTTCAGTGAATGAACATCTGAATAATGTGCATTCTTTTCGTTATATATTGCCAGCAACCACATTGTCTCTTATTGAGTTTTTTGTAACTTTGACAACGAAAGGTTGTACACTTTTCAGGAACGCAACAGGATAGGTTATGCGATTAATAAACATAATAATATATTAAAACAAACAAAAATCTATAACTTGTTGAAATATCTAGATGGCAGGAACAGGTAGCCCAGATGCTCAAGCAGGCCGCAATGATTCATTCATTTTGTTATGTATATCTTTACAAGAACAATGCTTTTCCTCTATGCTGTTAGACACATAGACAAACTCCTAACAGATTTTGTGTAACTGCTTATTTGACAATTTCTTATCATTATTATTACCCTATTCATTCATTTTATTCATTTACGTGTATACTTTAAATTCTGATTAACCACTACAGTCAAAATGTCTAAACATTTCTATTTGTAAATGTAAGCACTGGTGAGAAATTATCGGAAACATGCAACTTTCTCACATTTTACATGCATGTAAATAAATTTGAATGTATTGAAATAAAGTGAGTATATTTAGTGGAATTGAATGATTTCATCCTGTTTTGTAACCACCAATCAGCTGACTATATCTGGATGCTGGTTTTAATGTCTTTACTGAGATTTAAACTTTATATTATTCACTTCAAATGCGTTAAACACTAAGCTACTGTGTTCAGCTGGGCAGTGACTTATTTAACGATTATTAGAATATTAGAAAGGGTTTGTAATTTTCTGTTGCTAATACTCAAGACTGTGACAGGTGAGACCCTGTTATCATTTGTACATCTTGAGAGAATTAATTTGACTTAATGTGACAGCATCTTTCTTTTGCTATTTTTGATTATTTGGCTTGAAGTGTACTCCAGAATGAAATTTGTAATGTCTTTAAAGACCATCCTTCATGTAATAACGATGAATTGAACTATTCAGTGATTTGATCATTGGTACCAAACTTGTAGAAATTTTTTTTAGCAGAAGGCATCAGGTAAATATTATGAAATCTGATAAGCTGAATAATAAAAACCATGTTCTAGTCATTTGAAATTTACTGAAGCTACACTGCATCAACCTTAATTTATGTATTCCAGAAAAACCAGTTAGTTTCATTGTGACAGCATTTTTCTTGACAATTGTTTAGTTTAAAATTTTATGAATCTTCTTTCCCCTGATAGTATTACACCTAAATGATTAAATAAGATTTGAACATACTCGTGAAAGCATTATCAAATATCTTTTTACCCTCACTTTAGAATTGCGTAACAAGAATTAACTATCCTTAACAAAGAAAATCTTCCCGTTACCTAAATATTTGTTTTAATGAATAGATTATCACCATTGAAACTGAAGCACTAATTAACTTATCAACACGTAACTATATGTTATAACAAGAACGTTAATCAACTACTCATGAAGAACTTGAAATCCGCCACATATGTGCATCAGTTCCAGTTGCTACACCGCATCAGCATGTAGAGACAAATGTCATAGTTGTAGTAGTAGTAGTAGTAATAATAATAATAGTACCAGTGTAGAACTTATCAATAATAGATAGTATAATTAGATAATAATCAATTCGTCAAATAAAAAAAACATGAAACATTCATAAAAGATCAAAGCTTTTTAGGATTTTTATAAAAAAATAATTGACCAAACCATGTTTTTAAAACGATGAGAAACTTACTTCTTGGCATGGTGACGACTAATTTCTCAGCGTTAGATTGTATTATTTTTAATTCTGCCATAATTTCGCTGAACTCTGTATTGATTATGCCTTGATTTGTTAACTGTATTTTCTGATTATTATTATCATTATCATTATTTGATGATGACGATGTTGATAAACGAAACAGATTAAGATATTCACATCGTATAATATGACCATTCATAGGACATGATGATGCATCACTACTTCTGGATCGACGATAACTATCATCGGCATCAAGTAAAACATTTGATGCTGAATTACATGATTGTGCGATACAACTAATTTGTAACATATTTTTATCAACCATAATTGTTCTATCGTCTTTCGATGGAATTATTTGAATTTTAGGATAATGGACTGTGTAAAAAAATACAAATATTCAGCAAATATATAAAATATACAGATGAATAACAAACAGTAAGTTTAAAGGTGTAACTTGTGATTGTGTTCCAACAAAAACATTGAACCTGTAAACACTGGGGTCAATCCTCATGGGATTACTTAAGTAGTATCCGTTCGTGATCCAAAATCACTAGAAAATAGTTAAACGAGAGATTATAAAACATTACATTTGTTTAATAATTATTACCAGTGTTCATAACATGTTAGTAATGTGTGACTTGGAACAAAACAAAAGATAAAGACATTTGTCAACCATTCCTATAAACTTGAAGGAATTAATGCTCTCAGTAGGATTTAAACCATCATCACCCAGACTCACAATTTGAGATATTAACAGTAATCTGTCCTAGAAATCGATAGAATTCTATCATCACCCATTACAACATTAAATATATACATAATATTGGACTTCTCAACGGTAATCATTTACTACAGCACCAGGTATGAAGAGAAAACACACTAACGAGTCATGACACCTTAACCATTTGATCGCTAGGTTATTATCTTATGATAATGAACCAAATAGTATATTTTTAAAGATAATATTCAATTTTTCTGAAATCTAATCTTAATTACTTAAGAGCATTTATTGTCATAACACATTAAAAGTTTCTAACATAATGACAGATATGAAAGAAAAACTATATAACATCAACAATTGAAGCAACAAACTCGTTCAGTAGTTCAATGTTAAACAAAAAAAGTCATTTATAAAAATGGTAGAAAACAAAGTGACAATTAAATATCTTTTTTAATTATGAATGTGTGAAATAATATTGGAAACAAACAAACACTTGAATGAAGAATAGAGAGTGAACTCAAACAAAACAAAAACAAAGTTTACACTCTTTAAAAATATTAGTTAAAAGATATATTTCTATTCATTTGAGTATAACGATTCAGTTATATTTATTGAACACCTAATTGTATAATCAATTCAGAATATTTATACAGCACATATAGTTTATAGCGAATTTAGGATACTGAAGAACCTGGATAGAGGTGTAGCTGTTTCAAACGAGTAATGAATTTTATTTGTAGTTAATGTCAGCTACCCTTTACACGTTGAACCAATGAGGACTTAGTAAACAGTAAATCTTTATCTTTATTCTCAGTGTGTTCATACAAGTGGATAATTCTCATTCAATGTGTTATTAATATCTGTATGATTTGAGAGGTTGATCGACTTTTATCAAGCTTCTTCTGACCATGTAATTTTGACTTCATATTAGGCAAGCAGATGTCAAGTGATAGTATCAGCCTGTTGTTTAACACTCACATTTGTATCAAATACAAAACATATATTTTGTAAGATTAAATTAGTTAGTTAAAAATACAGTTTACACTTGTATACTACTAGCAAGAATGTTTTACGGTTATTCTACATATTATATACATTATAACATGATCCGTCCAGCAGATATGCTAAATCGGCTACGAAGGTTTTTGCAGATTTTTCAGAACACAGGCAATTCCTGAAATGTTGAAAGTTGTTTGTAGAGATTATACTACAAGGATCATATGTAAAAGACCAGAAGAACTATCGACTTTGTCTTAATGTATTCACTGAACGTATGGGATCACATGTGCTTTCCAATCATTAGTTCGTTGTCCAGGTGATATCTGATGAACTGAAGTCGCGCAAAGCCAACTGCGAACACGACCACAGGGAAATTAAAAAGACAAGAGACTAACTCTTAAGGACTTCCAGTGACGTTTTGAGCGGTGAAAACAAACATGAGATGAGCTTATTAACAAGAAATAGATATGTGCCTTAACTTTTATAAAATGGTACTTTTATGACCTCAGTCCACATATTTATTTCACAGAACAGTATACTTCTCCTTACTTGAACAGCAAACATATAAATTTGAAGTTCAATTCTACTGTTGACATAAAAACAAAATTTATCATACTTCTAACTAATTACCACCTCAGAATGAATATTATGTCCAAAATATCGGTTATAGCCAAATCGTGAAAATTTCGAAATGACCAGTGGAATTCAATAATCTCGAGTATGAGACAGATACCCACCCTAAGTAATGAAAGATCATTGTGCAGTGTCAAGGAGTACATTTAATTCAGAAATATACATCATTCGATACCAGTTCAATGGTCGAGAAATTAAGCGCTCATTTCGAGATTGAAGTTCCTTGGTCATAGGTGTGCACTTCTGAAGAGTACCATACTTGGAAGAAACAGCTATCTAATCCTTCATAGTTCTCAACAGTTGTTTAATTAGTATTATTAATTGATGTAAACTACAAATAATTGTCATATGTGTTTAACTAGGTGAATTTTTTTTATCAACAATAAAATATTATGTTTATTCACAGTCAATTATTTTATTACTAACAGTGTGTCTACATACCAAACTACACAAAATCCACATAATTTACATTAATAGATTCATAAATAAATGTTCACCTTGGGAAACTTGAAAATCACATAAACAATACCAAATATAATTGTCGTCTAAAACATAAATATTCTCGTAAAATATCTACATTATAAACACTCTTTAGATAAATATAAGTAGTATATGATTAATATATGTGATTTATCACTACAGTTAATTGTTCATTTCGTTATACAATTATGAATGTTATCTGTACGTACACATACACACACACTGAGAGAGAGAGAGACGTATTTAGTAGTAGAGTGAATAATTTTTTTTAAAAACTATTCTTACTTATCAACATGCTAATTAATTAAACAGGATAACACAATTATATGTTTGTTCTGTTTACTGTATTCTGAAATAACACTAATATATATCTGTCTACATAGTTCACAGTTATGAATAAAATGTAAACAGTGATTAACTGATTCATTGTATCATCGAAATAATGAACGTATAATCATTACACTTTTTATAAAATTTAAAACATATAATACAGAACTGGAAGTGAACTTCCATGTGATGTTATATACACATATTATATGATATGAAAATATTTATTGAATCTCCATATTGAGAAGTTTAATTTGGGTTGCATTTTCAACTGTGGAAAATTAAATAGCTAAACGATTAAGACGTATATGAAATATAAAACAACTCTTTGTATGAAACTTTCTTTAAGTAGACTATAATTATGCAAATGCTAGTAACTAGTTTTAAAATAATTTTACAAAATTTCAATTAGAAGTTACTTCTGTAAGAGTAGTGAGAAAGTCATTATCACAAGGGTATAAGGCACGTTGTATAGTGAACTGATTGAATTCTAAAATTTAAATCCTCGAAATTCAATTCAGATTGCTCTGGAATCATCAGATGTGAAGGTCCTATGATTAAGATTCAGTTACAGTCATGTGTGGCGGAGTTTACTGTTAAAGGGTCTTATAGTAGGACGAAACGGCTGCTCAGTGTGACTTGAGATTTGTAACTTCATTCCAACATACCATGAGTAGATAACTATTTATCCAGTCTGAAACTCTCCTGTACTATTTTAGCTTTCTGTTCGAATATTATTAATAATATTATAACCAATAGTTATTAACAATAACAATATTACCACTTTATATGTAAGTTTGTTATAATAATTATAATAAAAGTCAATTTCAATTCACTGGAGTGATGTTAATCCAACTGCATTGCATAAGTTGCCTAACATCAATTTTTTTTTAAAAGTAAACAAATAGACTTGCATTTAATGATAGACAGATAGATAAGTAGCTAGAAAGTAGAGAAAATGTAGGCATTAGGCAGAGACGACAGGTGGAAATAAGAACTTTTTATAAATAAAATGATGGTATTGCTAAAAGCAATTTACAAAAAATTAAATCGAGTCTTAAAAAGCTTAAAAAGATTTTAAATCATTTGAATACTTACAATCAAAAAAGGTATGAGAAAAACATATTTGTGGATATTTTGATGTAAAGAATGATTCATGAATAAAAATCGTTATTTATATTATCATATCTCATTTCACTCACTGATGCGTCAAATATTCACTGAACAACTTATTGAGTGGTTTTTTAAAAAGTTCATTATAAGCAAACTGAACTGAAACAAAGACTGATTGTAAGAAAAGATGGATAGTAGCGTCCTTGATTTCACTGCTAGCCACTATCCATCATTGCTTATAAAGCTTGTGAATTAAGGTAATATCGTGGCGATCCGCACAGGATGCACATGTTCCAACAAGGGACTGATCAACTGCAGTCCCAAACAACAATCGCAAGATACAAACAAACAACATCATGTGAACTCGAAGACTGATTGTTATCTAGAATCTGTACATGAAAGGTGAACACTTGAAACGTTTAATATGGTAATTTTCATCATGTGGTGGCCGAATAAATGTATCCTTCCAATTTTGAGCATTCTGAGCACTAAATGTATTTATTTCCATCTTACATTTTTTATAGTGAAAAATGGAAATCATTCGTGGTTGAATTTCGTGCAAATAACTTGAAAATACTGATAAAATTGCTTCCTCAATTCCGATTGGCCCGCCCTCCAAAAATACTTCTACCAATATTATTTACGCAGACGGATTTTCAAAATAGGCTGTTATTAATATTACAATTTTCTTTCAATAAATCAATTTGAAGAGAGTATATTATTCATGGAAATACAGCACATTAAACTTAGAATTCATAAAATTGATATGAATTCATCCCTGCTTGATATGACTGAATCATTTGTCTCATTAAAATCACTTGGATAGATGTAGATGTATATAAAAATAATAATTATTAATTCTATTGTTGTGTGAAAGAATCTAGTATACTGATTGTTGGAGGGAAGAGATTTTATAGGTTTTAAAGTTGTATTCAGCACAGATTGACCTTATTTGAGATGCCATTAAAATCAGGCAGCATTAGCTTCATACTTTTGGTTAAGTGTTTGCTGCTGGATATGAATCCCCAGTTTTCGATTCATAGAGGAATTCTTAATGCACGGTACCAAAGAGTCCTGTATTAGGATAAAACAGCCGTCTTGAACTCTCTGGCTTCTTGTAGCACTCGCACTGACATTAATTTGTGGTAGGTACAATGTATTGTGGTCATTGATTTATTCGTTTTGATTGCATGATAAACAAACTATGACAATTTTTTCCTGAGTGTCGTTCTTTGTTTAGTTCACGAAAGAGAGACAGGGGTATCATTCAATTCATGTGAGCCGCCCTCACTTCAAGCCCTAAATTTCGTTGTATTTATGTCTTTTATACGAAATGTCGGGCTGTGCTACACCGAACAAGCTCATGACAGGCAATTCAGTAATAAGTCTGGATGCTTGAAATGCAATCTTTAACTATTATTACAGTCCAACAGAAAACACTTACTCACTAAATGAACAAAAACATAGCTGAAAGTATTAAATATAACATACCGTCTCGATACAGGAAACGTTGTGGATAAACTCCGTTCTCGGTTAACAACATATATCAAATCTCTCCACATGAAGAATCTATGAATCCATTTATAAACCAGTTATCAATTATTGTTGGTATATGATTATGAGAACTTGGTTACTAATGGGACAAGAGAACATGTCTACACAAGTCCTAGCAGATGACTGACAAAATGTACAAAATAAAAATGCAAGTTTCATCACGTTCTCATTTATTCCACAACAGTTCTAAGCCTATTTCACATTATACAAAAACAATAGTTTCACTGACCACTAATTTACACAGGTTGTAAAAAACTAAATAAGAACCGATATATATATATATATATATATATATATCAAACTGTGAACTTAAGGTCACATGTGAAATTATACTTAATATTTTTGGAATGAATCAACAAATAATCATCTTCATTGCTCTCAGTGAAAGTAACATGTATTAGATTGTATACAACGTCGACTGATCTTCGTTAAATAATCACAGGAATTCGGGAAGCCTTGGATAGTTGTTTTTCTCACATTGTATCGCTAGTTATATATAGTTATACTATTTGAACTTGAATTAATTTTAATTTGGTTATTTATTCTCTGAAGAAGTGACTTACACTAAGTCACGAAACGTCAGAAAGTCCAAATTTCTACTCGTTGGGATATTACAAATATATTATTTTTATTTATAACACATTACAATAAATACACTTGAAACGAAGTATCCCATATTTAGTACACTTGTTTATAGTAGCTTTCAAATCTCTATCTGGCAAATTAGAAAGTATTAAATTTATTTAAAATTATTAAAAAAATAAAGTGTTTCTTACTTACTCTATCCAAAGTAAAATTAAAACATACACATGCGAAACATAATAAGTCATAATTATAGTATAATACTAACAAAGTGGTTAAACACATGCACATATAAAAAACACTTACATGGTAATCCATAAACATGTAACTTGTAAAGACCTTTTACATTCACCGTAACATAATCAAATGTATAGCTTTCTAAATCTGTAGTTGGACAATTATATTCTTTAAAATTGGCACCATCATTACCAGAACTAGCTGTCGATATACAATCATTTTGAAGATTAATTATTTTCGTCAATGATTCCATACCACTGAAATGTAATGCTGTGAAAATAAAGAAATAAAAATAAGCGAGAAAATGGTATAGAAATACAATTTTCGATGTGAACAATGTAAAATAAAGTAAGCTAACCGATGAGAATTAGGTGTATTCTCAGTGTAGAAACAAACCACGTTTTTTTATTAGTTCATGACCATTAAATTTTGACGATTCACACGATTACTGTTGTGAAAAATAAGATTGAATAATTCCGCAGTAACAATTTATCGATAGGATTGTTTTGTGCAAAGAACTAAACAAACAAAACAACGTGGTAAATGTTTAGTAAACAATAATCAAAGGAGACCATAGTAAAACCGGAAAAAAACATGGGTTTATATAACAACTGGTTTCACATGATAGACAAATAAAAAATAATAAATGCACGATGATCAATGATCAGACTTAATAATACAAGAAGCCAACCAAGTTTATAGTGTTGTCTAGTCTTTGTAAGTGAACCACATTTTAGTAAGTATAATTCACCGGAAACTAACTGACCGGAGTGTGTGTAGGTTAGAAATAAGAAACAAAATAATTAAGTTCATCAGCATTGTTAAATACATTGATTGGTTTTTACATGAAAAATGATCTGAATACTGTTAGAATGGATGAGTGGCTATCTTACAGTCATAAATATACAAGATAATTATTAAGAATTGTATCAATAAGTAGACGTGTATATAGACCTCTTATTAGTTGGGATCTGTTAACAAATATATATATATATATATATATATATATATATATATATATATATATATATATAAAGCTGGAATTTATCGCTATGACAATCAAACCTGGATTACAGTGTAACAGTCTGAGATCCTACCACTGATGTAATCGCGTTACATTTGTCATTATTTAGTAATGATGTAATGCATATAATTTATGTTAGGTGAAGGTAGTTGGCAGAAAACCGTATGGAAATGATTCCCCTTACTGAACCCATATTGGAGCCGCAACCTGTAGCGTCTCAAACTGTGGGACTAACTGACCCAGATTCACGTCATAGAGAGATCACCAATTCTATAGGGTTTCACGATATTATGCGACCATCTTCCGTTGTTGTTCTCCTCACACTCGATACAGTTGAATTCTACTAGTTACGGCTTCTGCTTCGAACTTTGGAAATTTTCCCTCGAAGCTAGTCACTGAAAAGCACGTAATAACTATCATTATGAATGTTTCAGAGATCGTTGAATATTATAAAGATCACGGAAGAACTGTACAGCTTTCTCATCCTAGTACCTGACTCCTCAGCAGTAGTCATCCACGATTCGTGAACTCATCAATCTTCGCAACATTCATACCCGATAACTATATATATATGTCAAGTTTAACTCCACTATCTGTTAAAATGTTCTACTTTTCCCAACTTTAAAATGTGGAAAAATAAACGATATGACACAGATAATATTATATGACATTAAATTAGCCTACTGACATGACATATAAATTTTTTTATTGTAATGAACTAAATTTGTAACAATACATGAATACAATTTTGTAATAACAGATGAAAAGTACATTGTTTCAGAGAAGAGAACAATTCCGTCTTACATAAACTAATAGTAGTAGCCTTAGTCCTGGTTAAATTTTTGAACAACAAAAAAGGACACACCATAAATTAAAGTATCTATTTTTATGTGAACATAATATTTATGGTTGGGTTTGTTTGTTCATTTATTTGACAAGAATAAAAATGTCAGTTTTCTACTTTGAGGACCAAAACAAAAACTTATTCATTAAAAAAGAGAAAAGAAACACGTATGATAATAACCGGATGTTGTTTCGTTTTTCTTCCTTGTTTGTCAATGGTCACTGATGTTAACCAGCAACAGTTTAACTTAATTTAAAGTGAATAATTTTTATATACATGCTGAAAACTCCATATTACTGTTATTACTGTACTAGAATTAGGTAAAAGTTATTAAATCGATCGTTATCAATACAACTGTGATAATATTATGATAATATGTATTTGTGATCATAGTGATAATACAGAGATAAATCTACTAAGATGAATATATGGAGAATGGTCAGTTGAGATTTTTAACAAGAATAATTGAAGAAAAATCGTTTACAAATGAAATATTGCGCGTTGAATAAGCTAATGACTATTTGGATTCAATATCAAAATGGATAACGTGTTAAATGTATTGATGCTAAAGGGATGAGATTCGAGTGTCGATGTGAATATCAACGTTGGGCATGTAAGTACATATAACTGAGACAAAAAAAGAAGAGTGAACCACGCATCCTGAATTACACTGGTCTAGCTTCAATTGACTCATGATTTCAATCTGTGAAATTTCTAAAATCTCCACAAAACCCATTCTGATAATAATAATCAACTGCTCACTAGTGACTGACTTCAAGAAAAACTCCCGAAGTTCTAGTGAGAAGCCGTTACCAGTGGAGTTCAACCAGGTCTGTTGTGAGATAGGAACTCACTGAAGACAATGGTGTACGGTGGCGCAACTTCGTGGATTGGTTGAAGTTAGACATTAACACCGTTGGATGCCGGCTCAGTGGTCTAATGGTTAAGTGCTCGCGCGCGAAACCAGTAGGTCCTGGGTCCGAGCCCCGCGTGGTGCGGGGTCGTGGATGCGCACTGCTGGGGAGTCCCATACCAGGACGAAACGGCCGTCCAGTGCTTCCAGGTTTTCAATGGTGGTCTAGCTTCAATTGACTCATGATTTCAATCTGTGAAATATTAATTTAGTAAGACAAATGGAATTTTATGGGTTTTCTTAAGGCTGATACAATAGTTTTCTCATATGAGTTTCATACATCTGTTGTCCTTAAGAGTTACATAATTCTCTCATTCATTCTAGTTTTCTACTCGTAAGTTCAATGTTTAGGCTATTTTACTTACGTTTATACTACTATTACTTTGAATAGTTAGTTATTCATCCTGATTCGTGTGATAAAATGGGTCGAGACTCATGTTGGTTAGAGTTGACAATATTGTCTATTTGTATATTATTCGTAGGTATATTGTTTAAATTATGATCTAAGCTGAAGAACGTTTGTAAAAGTGACAAAGAAATTACAAAATTTTAAATAATTTTTGCTATTGTTAGAAGCATGTATCATTCCAAATGATGTATATCGAAGGTCAATTACTTTCTTTGTTGATAAACGTAGTACAGTTGAGATAAACGTTTCCATGTAAAATCACAGATATATATATATATATATATATATATATATATATATATATATATTATTGTAATACGGTATATATTAGGCAATATGCTGATTTTATGCCTTATCAACTGACAAGAATTCAGCACAAATCTATTCTTGAGTATACTACTTTAAAATTGAGCTTATATTAAACTGAATATATTGACATCATGTTATCAAGTCAATCTGTCTTACAATACGCGTAGTAAACTTCTTAATATCAGTAGTTTGACTTAATGAACCAACTGAAACTAGATGAACCACTAAGAATCAATAAACACTGGACGACTGTTCTATTGTGAACATCCATCATATCGTCAGGGAGCGAAATATGAATCAATCGGATCTCATGGTGACGTTTTACGACCAAACCTTAGAGGTTGATGAAGTAACACTGTCCATGAGATTTGTATGAGGACAAAATAGTGGTAGGATTCCCTCCCTTCTTTATATCCAGCTAAAATCAATCGACTATGTCAACTATAGTTAAAAACTTAAATTTTTCATTATTTTTACAAATTACTGAAGTAGTTCTTTTGATTTTTTTCCCATCTCCTCTTTGTCTTTACATTCCGTATCATAATTTACATGTGACAAACAAAACAAATAAACCTTGAAGTTAGTTAGTTCATTTGTTCGGCTGAGGTCAACACTATTTCATTTTATAATAATAGAATGTTGTAAGAGAGAAATTTGTACAAGTATATTTCACATACACTAATCAAACAACCGATACAAAATTTAGTAGTATTGTGAATATGATATATGTAGTGCTAATCGTTAAATTATTTCCAATCTGAAATCAAACTGAAGGGTGTGACATGCAAAAATCTTACAAAATAAATAAATGAACAAACAGGTGTATTTAATAAGTATATAAAGATTTTGTGTACACATTCTTAAACCACGCCTATTGAAGACCATTTATATGAGATAATATTATGGTTGAAACATTTGAAAGAACAAAACAAAAGATTTACAAATTCTATGGAAGATCATAATATAGGTGATTTAAAGTTTATACTAAAACATTCGACTACCAGTCAATACATAGAAAATGTCTAGTATATCAACGTTCCACGGTCTTTTAATTCAGATACCCATGTACACATCACCTAAACGTTTACCCAACCTGGTGTGAGGGTGAGAAGACTAAGAATGAAATGACAGTCGTAGTTAGAAAATTGAATAAATTATATTTAAATCATGGGTATAAATATATACAATATGTACTTCCGATCCATACAAGAAAATGTAAACTAAGATGTTATGAAAGTGCCAACAGTGTACCTTATCATCTCTCACCTACAACTTGGTCCTGAAACATGTGAGTACAGCCACGAGATGTGTATGGTTTCGCTCAGTCTATAATAGGACCTACACAAATATGTATCATTCAGTATTACCAAATCACACATTATCATAGCAAAAAAGGAAACTAGCAGAAGATATAGCCCTATTGATTGGATTCGAAAAGTAACTTGATGCAAAATGTTGAGGAAGATAAATAATGCAGCCCAACTGAGCTACTGTAACTGATTTTCGTGTCATGTTACCTAACATGTCCAACCATAGAGATTACAACTATTACACAAAGTTTATTATCGCAAGTATTACATCCATGAATATTAGAGCAATAGTTAACAAGTGATTTCATGAATTTATACCATTTCAATTATCTGATTTCCTCTAGCATCACAATGTATAAGCATCATCTCAAAGATATGATAGCTCGATGTGAACCTACTTCACACAAAGATAATTTACAGTGGTTTATCAGTTAAAATTAGCTAATGAGTAGCATATTCAACGAATCTTGTCTCATCATCTTATAAAATGTAGAGAATTGGATAGATATTACTAGTTTTCATACAAAAAATAGGTAATAGCTCAATTAACATAAATCTATTCTTGATAAATAAATAATTCTAAATTGAATCGATTCTTTTATATTTATTCTTATGTTCCAAATTAAAGAAGTATGGACTGAAGAACTCGTAGAAGATGCTTGTAGATTGATATATAAGCTCATCGTAAACTCCATTGTTTTCATTACCATGTCTTTTCATCGTTGAATTCATGAACTTATTATAGCTAGACCATTATAGGAAACGTGAAATCAATGGACGGCCGTTTCTTCAAAAGATGGCAATCCTCAGTAATGGCTATCCACGAAACCTCACGCAGGAATCGGACCCAAGACTTTCGGTTTTGTGCGCAAACGCTTAATTCCTGTACAACTGAGCTGACATCCAACGGCGCTAATGCTGAATTTCAACCAATCCATGATCTTGCGTAACCCTTCATCTATTGCCTGTAGTGGATAACCGTCTCACACCCGACATGTATTGAGCTCCACTGGTTATAGCTTCTCACTATAACTCCATGAGTTATAACTTAAAGTTAGTCCTTGTTATTTGGATTCTATAGGATACATATTATCTCTTCCCAATTTTTGTTCTAATTTAGAATGAGTCAAGTGAATTATTGTGGCCAGGGTATACTAGATCTATGAAACATAGATAATGTGTGAATGTTATCCAATTATTTTAAGACAGGTGTCTTTGAAACATTTCTTATGAATGATGAGATCAACGAATCCGTAATGCTGAATTGAAATATAAAGTTCAGACTAAACCAAGAACAAAAATATTTATATATTTTGTTGTTCTTTCGTTGTTCAAATTTACCAGTCGACCGAGCTGTATTAATTATAACTTGGAATAAAACTAGGGATGGGTGGGTGAAGTATATAAGTGATGTTATTCCATGAATCAATCGACTGTCGATCATATTCAAGGTTTGTAGATGTAGACTTCTTACTTAAACGTATAAAATAGTGTATATACATGGACGTGCAAAACAGATCACATAAATAAACTTTCGTTAACTCTTTACCTCCATCTATAAAATTCGATTAGCGCTAAGAAAATCCAGAAAAATAAGAAATTACACAATACTCAGTGATTAATCAATTCTACTCGTTGGTTCCTCCTAAAACTTGAACTTCGTGTAATTCTAAACTAGTTTATTATCCAATTTCATTCATTCTTTAAGAAATTTATTGACGATACTTAGATTTTTAATGCAGCTAATGATATTATATCTCTCTTGTATTGTTACACATTATATCAGTAAGCTAACTGGTGAAATCACATAGTCATTAACAGCTCACTGACTAGAAAATTAGTGTTTTACGTGAATTACATACTTAATCGATTTTCTGTGATAAGTCAATTGTTCTAAATGAAATAATTCCTGAATTAGTAGTCGATAAATGAGAGACCAGTGTAGGATAAGGAAGATGGTGCCAACTTTCCACCTACTGACCAATATATCAAATAGATAACTCTGCTGCATTATAGTGATATTCTTTGTTGTCGAACTGCTAAGGCGATCAAGGGATTACTTAATTTGTGAAAATAATACTCAAGTCTTACTAATAATAGTAATCACGAATGCTTTTTTACCCACTCAAATTTTCGCATAAGCTTCGCTATTTCCCATTTTGATCCCTCTACTTTCAGTGCGATAATTTTCTGTTCACCTGAAGATCATGATGTCGTCATTATACATACTAAGCTGAAGTACTATTTCAAGTTGTTCTATATGAATATTAAGTTTTCCCTCACACTTCATTTTCTTCTTGTGTTAGCGGTTAGTTTTTTAAATGTTGTGTATCAACTACCGTTATCAACTCAGGAATAGAACTGTTCGTACCAAGAATAGTTCACTAGTTCCTCAATTCCTAAGTATCGTAGGCCGACTGAAAACTGAATATTCTAGTCGTATTTATCAAATATCAAAATAATATGAAAGTGAAAATTCTTTCCAGTTTGATAGTTGACTATGAAAGGAGATAATAATATGAAAAAGAACTTAAGATTAATCTTGAACTGTTTGTCTATTATGTGCCCAAAAGTTAAAAATCAGATGGAATTGATTTTTCTCCATTCAATGTAGTTACCTACAGTGGAATAGTAGTAAACACACTTGATTCGAGACGATTATGGCAAAAAAACGTTGACACTGGTTACAATTGATTTGAAATAATTCATGGAATAATAGCTCTTGACTTTCTGTTAAGAAATGAACTTAAAATAAATTACAATAAAAGAAAATTGAAATAAGAAGTTTTAAAAATAATCTAAACAGGTGCAGTTATCGATTATTAATGTGTTTACTTTTCAGGGTGAAGGAAACTGTGCCGGAAAGTTAAAATTTCTAGCTTATGCAACAGACTTCATATAGTCGTCTACAAGTATCAAATGGCATAGCTACGAATATGATTGGAGGTAAATATGAAACGCTTTTTCATACCTTGAATACTTTTCATCCTATGTTTATATCAGCTGTAATTGTATACAATCATTATACATTCACGACACCACACCAGACCATATCTGCTACGTTGATATAATTGTCAGCCTAGCCTATCCTGATGACATATCCGAACTGTATTGACTAGAACACTTAGCTTTTTGTCCTACCATCCCAGGGGGGTCACTTGGAGAATAGTAAGTTTTAAAGTACCAAACTAGGGTCTAAGGGCCGCGTCTTACTGTCTGTTGCAACGGGTTGTGACGAAAATAAGGTGTTTCCTTCAGACAGTGTCTCTTATGATTCAACCTTCCCATTAGAGAAAGAGTAGGTTAGGAGAGGTCAACATCAAAAATACCCACCGTTGTCATACCCTCCAAGTTTTCACTACCAATGGTAAAGACTTTAAAGCATGGAGCTAATGAATCAACAAATATTTGAAAAAATCCTTTTGTGATCAGCCTCAAACAGTTGTCCCTTGATCTGTGTGAGCACGTTTTCATGTCTTCGAAACCACACCTTATCCCGTTATTATTTCGGGACCATCAGAAAGAAATACCCTTGCACTGTGTGAGCAACCGCGAAGTGACATCTGTTCACGCACTTTTAACAGAACTCAAGATTGCCTTGTTATCATTAAAACCTTGTTAATACTAAATAATGATACTAAAATATTGTTTTAAATAAAACACATTTCACTTACTATACTCGTGTGGCAAATCATCTTGTTTTGATGTTACAAAGTGTACACTCGTTACTGAATATGTTTTTCCAAAGTAAATTGTAACATTACGGTCATCAGTAGCCACTAGTGCAGAACTTTCTGTCACATTACTTTCGTCATTTAAATGCCATAATAATCCACTACATGATTCCATAGATTCCACAGGAACTAGATGATCGACATATGGCTTAAACAATGTAATATCATCTAAACGATTAAAAAAAGATTACAAAAAGATGAATGGTGTAAGTGAAATGTAATTATCTGTTAAGTGTTCAATTTACGAACCGAGATAAGGACTAAGTATACAACTAGATGCAATAAAGCATAAAAGGTGATCCCACAAAAATTAAAATATTCTAGACTCAATTGCATGAAATCAAAATAAATTTGGGAGGCGGGAATTAAAAAGCTGCTCAACTCACGGTTATTGAATTAACCGCATAGTTTTGAATGAACTTTACACTAATATTCATATATCTTTAGAATTAAAGTAAAAAAAACACATGTATACAGGCATCTTATCAATCATCAAACTGAAGTGAATTATATCATTCACCTATTTACTACATGTATAAGTGAAACTAGGACGTTTTAGATAAGTTGATAAACTGAAACCTGGTGCTACCGACTTTGACTTGGACAGTCAAACAATAATAGTATCAGTAAAAATAATAGCATTATTTAACGTTAGAAATTTTTTTACAGTGAAGCAATTATTGAGATGAATTTTGTAACACCGTGTCAAATTTCGCTTCCATGTACATTTCAATTGTAAATAATTTAAAAAATGTTTTGTATGTTTTTATTTTAATTTTCATTATCTGCTCGTTACTTTTTAATCATGAAAGTTTGCCATCAGGTTAACTGACTTAACTATGTTTCCCACGAATTGTATATTGAGTGCATGCATTACATCGTAATCGTTTCTCTTTACTTAAAGAGTAGAGATGGCGGATGATAGATTAATAACCTTAGTGCTTTCATTCAAGTTCATGGTATAGATCAATTTTAATTTATTTGATATGACGGGACGACGGTCGCAAATATAGAAGAGGAGACAGGTAGATAAACAATGACCACCCAGATAAAATAGTGGCGACGCGAATTTACCAACTTCAATATAAGTATATGGTTGAATTACATTTAGCATTCATCATTACGTAATATAAACAAGATTCATACATAAATGTGTGACCCAAATTGTACAAAGTACACGAATATGTACATGGTTATTGAGTTGCATTATACTTGAAGTGAACAGAATCGAATGTTCCCGGAGAAATAATTAGTCTTGTTATGCAGTAAAACCATCGTTTAATGTTGTCACTTTTCAAATGGTCAATTAGCCTAACGTCAATACACGATGTAGAATATCGCTCGAAACATTACGTTGGTCGCTGATTATCGATCATTTTGATTATTTTTCTTGAACAAGTGATAATCATTTAATACTAGAAGAGATTTTTGTGGATATTATAGAAATTTTAATGGTCAGGATCATGCGTCAATTAAAGCTAGACCACCATGGAAAACTTGGAAGCACTGAACGGCCATTTCGTTCTATTGTGGGACTCCTCAGCAGTGCGCATTCACGATTCCAATCCAGGGCCTGTCAGTGTCGCGCGCAAGCTCTTAACCACTAGACCACTGAGCCGGCATCCAACGGTGTTAATGTCCAACTTCAACTAATCCACGAAATTGAGCGACACTTCCACGATTGTCATCAGTGAGTTATTATCTGACAACAGACCCGGTTGAACCCCATCGGTCACTGCTTATCACTAATAATCGTTTGTCCTGCACTTTGAATTAGTTTCAATTATAAAATGTTAAGATTAAATGATCTTAGAACTGTATAAAATTCTACCCATTCTCAACAGCCCAATAGCAACTGAGATAACAATGAAGAGTGAGATAATTACTACTTATAAATAAGAACTTTCGTCGAAATTTAAACGAATAGTTTCACAATATTTGGGCGCCGAGTTCATTTGAGACATTGAAAAGAAGAATATATTTGTCAAATCTCAGCGAATGAACTTTAAGTAAATCCAACGTTTCGCCTGGAAATCTGGTCCAAGCTTTTTCAAGGAAAATATAATCAAACAACAAAATTATCGAAAATAAATAGGTACAAGGTTCTTCGGTTTACTGTATACTGAATAAGTCATCCAATCAACTTGAAGGATTTTTTAAATGGGTAGGTCAAGTTGATTGGATGACTTATTCAGTATACGGTAAACCGAAGAACCTTGTACCTATTTATTTTCGATAATTTTGTTGTTTGATTATATTTTCCTTGAAAAAGCTTGGACCAGATTTCCAGGCGAAACGTTGGATTTACTTAAAATTCATTCGCTGAGATTTTACAAATATATTCTTCTTTTTAAATTACTACTTATGTTATTAAATTTGAGAAATATGTAGTCAGTCAAATGAATATGGAAAATGAGATTATGAAGACTGTATTTAATGAACTTCACAATACATAAATGGTCGAGGCTATGATTTGTGAACGATCTTATAGAGATAATAAAGTGCTCTTGAGAAACTTCAACCATTTTACAGGGTGAAAATAGTCATACAATTGTGTAAATTAGAATCGGGAGTTAAATATAGAAGTTAGGGTTGACAAATAATACTAGGATGTTCATCACGAACTGGCATCAACTATAATGTCTTAACGTTATTTACCTGTGTGAATGAATGAATTTCGTGACAAAAATCGAAATTCGCTACCTTATATCTGATTGGTTCATTCTCAAATTATAGTACCACCTATTAATCGTATCCCCTTCAAAAACTTCCTATTTGTGACAATACATTCGTCTTATATTCATTTCCACTGTTGGATAACATCCTTGGTAGTTCTCAGACCCCTGAATATCTAGTCGTCTTGTTGTTTCACATGTGATTATTTATCCACACGTTGTACCCAAATCAACTACTCATGAACATTTTGCCTTTCGATAACAGATCTAGAGTTTTTAACTAATGATTTCTGATATCGTAAGGACACAAGAATGTTGAAGATATACAATTCATCAAAACTCACTATGTTTTGATTGGAATGATGAAATATCTTGCTTGATCTGGCAGTTAAACTACGTTTTCATTCTCCCAAAAACGATTCTATATTCAAGTAGATAAGTATTGGGTTGGTTTAACATATAGAATATTCGACTATCCAGTTAATTTCTTCAAGTTTTCAGAGTTATATCTCTCTAAAATTAAGAAGCTAGTCAACTAACTAGTAAAGATATTCTAATTTGCTCTTCTGAACTTCCATTCATTTATTCATTGGCTGACTCGTGTATGTATGAAACTTCAAACAGAAAAATAATCAAAATCTTAATTCTACGTTGCGCTTAGTCGTAATATATCCAAAGTTCCACAAATGTAATCTGTCCAGCACTTTTACGCACCTTTCTATTTATTGAGTAGATAAGTACTGTTAAAGTGTAGTTTCCATTCAAGTTCATTTCAAGCAATAACGTTGCCATAGAATAGACGGGATGTGGCTAGCAGTGGACCTGTTAGCTGCATGTACCTGCATCTTGAAATTAATGTCCACACTCTGGGGTCCGAACCCAAATTTCAATTAAGATATCAGTAATAGGATAATAATCTAATACATTATCAGTTAGGTTAACTTTACGATATCTGTATTCTTACATCCACTTTGTTGGGCTGTTACATTGATATATTCATTGTAGACAGTTACAGATAACTCTAGACTGTTAAAATGAAATCACCAGTGAAAAACTTCACTCTTACAACATACTGAATTCACTAACTAAATGAACGATAGAATAACCAGCAGTGCTTGATACATAAAACACAGTTACTGGAAAATATTTTATCTCAACAAAATTATTACGCACAACAAGCTGACTTTACTGCTGTTCAACTGTATTTTGTCATTTTTTCCAGCTTATTGATTTGTTTTGTAACTGGCACACTTAACAATACAGTTATCATAACATTGTAATGCGTAAATGAATATGACAGCTTTCGAAAATTTTGACAAGTACCAAATTAATTTTGTCTAGAACAAGGTGTACATAGAACGAATTTAGAATGAAGGTCACCTGTCAGATGTACGTATATATAGTACTTGAATATCTATACACATTTATCACTTTCTCAAGAACCTACTTAAGAACATGATAAGGAAAGTAGTACTCGTGTGACATTATTGATTAATTAAGAAACGCAGAATTCAGTTAAATAATGAGAGCATGTAGTAATAAGGATAATAATTGCTTGTGTATGTGTGTGTGTTTGTGATTTGTATGAATAAATACAGACATTTTTTCTCAAGCAATAATTTTACTCCATCCACACTCCATAATTAAACCACAGAAATTAATCAATACACTTCACCAGTTGTGTAATCTCTGTATACATTTGTTTATATAATGATCAGACGTAAAGAGAGAGATAGAAAGAATCTATGGCATTGTAGTGTATACAAATATCACACTGTTTGTAATGTAAAACTGTATGATAAGGTTAGTGTACATATAACTGGATTTATGTTCAGACTCTAACATTGAAATGTGTGGGGTAAAACTGTTGAAAAGCATATTAACAAATGGTCATGACCTTATATTTAATTAATTAAACTTGAATATGTTGTGTAGATCACCAACTGCGATCAGGTTAAACATCTACTGAAAACTATAGAGCAACGAACAGCTGTTTTGGCTCATAACATAAGTCTATTAAGCAGTGTTCACCTACGTTCCTGTTACACCTCACTTGACGAATCCGTTACATTTCAACAACTGAATTGTTTCACATATCTAATTTTAGTTAGATTGTGATACTGAGCAACTATCATTCTATTAGCATGGGCGAAATTCGCTTCATGACCGAAACAGATGAATCCCACTCGATTATAACTTTTTGGTAAAATTCTAGGAAATATTTCTGAAGTCAGTCACGTGTGTGCATATGAAAATTATTAACAGAAGACATGGATAGAATTTGTTCCGACTGGTTGACTGTATAAATGAAAGATCGTGGTGGTTTCAAATCCACAATTTTTTGAGTTTCCTTATATCACCTGCATTTATTAAAAACACATTTATTTTACGCAGTAACTTATGAATAATTTAAATCAATCATTAACCTTATTGTTGACCATGTATATATGAATAAGAAATATAACCGGAAATTACATTCCTAGACGACTGATA